GCTGCCTGAGCGGCGGCGGCCGGCGGAAGTCCTGCTGCCCCGAGCCCGCGCTGCTGAGGACGGCCGGCAAGACGCAGTAGGTGCCCGCCCGCCGCCAGCCTCTGACGGGGCTGCGGGGGACCCCTCCCCTGCATCTGCAGGCTGTTCGTGTTGGGGGGCCTCGGGGACGGATCACGCCAGGAAGCCGGTTCCGTGGTGGGGACCGCGGACCCCAGGGTCTTGGGGAGACGGGCCCTGGCTCTCTTTATTTTCAAGAGTGGGGTACAGGCTAGGTGTGGGGGTGAGAGGACGCCCCAGAGACACAGTGGGGAGCAGAACAGGCGGATGCACTGAAGTCCACTGCGCAGGGGGCAGCGGGGAGACAGGAGGGGTCCGCTGGGCCCGGGGTCCCTCGCCGGCCGCGCTGGCTGCGTCATAGTGCTGGACTCGGCCCTGCGCCGTCTCGCCGGCAGGTTCCCCTCGGCCGCGTGGAGGGACGCTGAGTGGACAGCAGGGGGCGGGGCCCGGGCCCCTGCCCACACCCCAGGCCGCGGCTTCCCTTCCCTCCAGGAGCTTCAACCCCGAGGCCGCGGTGCCCGGCAAGGCGGGCGGCAGCTCCCACTGGCAGGCCGGGCAGACCGGGGTCTGTCTCATCATGTGATCCCGGGCTCTGGCCCGAAACGGTCAGGTGAGGGCCGGAGGGCAGGGGCGGCCCCGGGGCGTCCAGGGGAGGGGGCGAGGGCCGGGCAGCCGCTCACCCTGACCCCTCCCGGCAGCACAGGCTCTCGTCTTCTCTGCCCCTCCGAGCCTGGAGTCCACCCCCGGAGGAAGCCGGGCAGCGGGGCGGCCCCCGGGGCCCAGCCGCGGGCCCGGTGGGGGCCGCGGGCCTGTCGGGTCTCCCGCTGCCCGCGCCGTGCCCGCCCCAGCGTGACCGTGTCGTCGTGGTGACAAGCTTCAGCGGCCAGCGGGCTGTGCCGCCTTGTCCGAGCAAAGCCATAGGAGCCGGCGCCCCTCCCCCGCTGCGCCGGGAGGCCGGCGCCCAGGGCTGTCCTGTCTCCGTGGTACTTGTCCACCCGCGTGTGTGGCACCTCCCCGGCCTCCAGCTCCAGCCGCCCGGTCAGTCCAGGCCGCGCCAGGACCCCGCTGCCGCGCACACCAGCACCGCCC